GACAGTCATATTCAACCTTCGTTGTGGACACAACCAGCAAGGGCCATGCTTTTACAAAACAAGCAAAGAGCAGCCTGAATGTAGGGTACGATGTAAGCACCAGTTAAAATGTGGGCATGATTGTGGCGGTACATGTAGCAAGTGTTACCAGGGGCGCTTCCACTCACCATGCTCTCGACGGTGTGAACGTCTTCTGATCTGCTCTCACAAGTGTACAGAACCTTGTACCCGTGATTGCCCACCCTGTCGGAAACCTTGTGAGAACTGCTGTGTTCATAGTGAGTGTAAGAGGGAGTGTGGGCAATCTTGTGCTCCTTGCATTGAGCCATGTAACTGGCAATGCCCTCACCAAACCTGCAGTAAGCTTTGCCACGAGCCATGCGATCGTCCACCATGCACTGAACCTTGTAGAAAGACCCTAAAGTGTGGCCACCCATGTATTGGTCTTTGCGGAGACAAATGTCCAACCAAATGTCGCATATGCGACCACGATGACGTCTTAGAGATTTTCTTTGGCACTGAAGATGAACCCGATGCTCGTTTTATTCAGCTGGAGGACTGTGGACACATCTTTGAGTCCACAGCTATGGACCAGTGGATGTCTGAAGTCCACCAGGGACCTGAAGAACAGCAGGTAGCAATAAAGCTAAAAGAATGTCCCAGGTGTAAAACTCCAATACGGAAGAATCTGCGCTATGGATCACATGTCAACCGCAGTCTGGCTGAAATAGAGATGGTAAAGAAGAAGATAAATGGAAGAGAGTCTGATATTGAGGAAAAAAGAAGGATTCTTAAAAAACAGTGGGTTGAAGGTCTGAACATTTGTCAAAAATATGTGCAGAAGGAGGATAACGAGATCCAAGAAAAACTTGAAAAAACTTACCTCACTGCAAGTGATCTGTGGATCCTGGAGAACAAGATTGATTTTCTGATAAGAGTTGCAAAACTTCTAAAAGTTGAAAAGGAAAAAATGTTAGTCACTGACGGTTGCAAGTTTCGACAGGATGTCAATCAGTTCATGTCCTGGCTCAATAACACAAGCCAGAGGTTCACAGATCAACAAGTCTTTGATTTGCAGCGAGAGCTACAGAGACTCAACTTACTGGCTGAACTCAATGTCCGCTGTCACATTGCAGACACAAAAGACCAGATGAGGGAAATGCAGTCTGAAGTTCAAGAAATCAGACATGCCTTAGAAATGCCTGGTCAGTTCACTGAGCAAGATCAGCTAAATGTGAAAGAAGCCCTGAAGAGTCTGGATGAAAGATTTCCAGCCACAGGCTTAGGGATCAGTGAGGAAGAGCGAAAGATGATTGTCTCAGCAATGCGAATGCCTCCAGGCCACTGGCACAAATGTCCCAATGGCCATGTCTATGTCATTACAGAATGTGGAGGAGCTAATCAGAGATCAAAATGTCCTGACTGCAAAGCATCTATTGGTGGAGAAAACCATACATTGGACAGTGGCAATGAAGTTGCTACAGAAATGGATGGATCTCGGCATTCTGCCTGGTCTGAAGCTAATAATCTTCTGAACTTTGACCCACGTGAATTCTAAAAAGCAGTGTCATAAACTTCAGATATTGTATTAGCTCAAATGAGAACAACTAGTCAATGAGTTTGTCACAATCTGGCATTATTCTTGCATGTGATTTATTTCTGAAAAAATATGTCTTTCGGTTTAATATGTTTTAAAATCTTAAGAGATGCATTGGGTAGTAGCATTTTAACATTTGCTCTTGCAAAATCACAAGATTTCTTTAAAGAATATACATTTATATGCGTTGCTTAACAAGAGATGAATGAAACATGTAATGCAGGAGTGTAAAGGATATTTTTTACTGTCAGTAACATCTGTCATGTACCCAAACAATAGGTGGCAGTAGAATACTGCACAACAAAAAATGTATACATAAAGGATTGTTAATCATGTTTGTTCATATGAAAGAAAAAAAATTATTCATGTGATTTCTGTTTTCTTTTCTATGTATTGTGTTCTTGAATAAAATTATTTTCTGAGATGTAGGTAATGCAATTTTTTGTCTTCATCCTTTTTCTAATATTTCCGTGAACTAGTTGCAACGAGGGGTAAAACATTTGTGTCTTTGCCTCGATATCATTGGCAATGAAGCCAAAGAAATAACCCTGAAATAACTACCGTTCCTCTTCACTATGCACGACTCATATTCGCTGAGTTTCATTTTGGTGTCTTGTACCAGCTTGCATCACTTTATTATATGATGAATGTGTCCCTGTCACAGGCACAGCTACAGTGCAAACTTTGCTATCTGAAGGTGGGGGACAACAAAAATGTTGTCAGGGTAGCGTTAACAGTGAATAAACTTTAAAAGCTGGCCACTCTTTTAGTATTTATAGTGTTCAAGCACAGAGTTGAAGGAAAGCTGGATGAAAGGCGACGCTGGAGGAAAAGGGTAATATCCTACAAGGTGGACTGACTCATTTATCATGCCATGTGGCCTTAAATATGCTGCTGTCAGTGTCCATGGGTGTGCTTCTCCAATAATAACTATGAAGTTACTCTAAACCTACAATTTTAAAGCAAAATGGGTGACATTCACCTATACTTTTTTTTTTAAAGAAAAGGTGAAATAACAGAATTTTGAGTTATGAAAAAAGCACCATTAGAAAAAGCACCATTAGGAAAGCACACATAATGTCGGTGCTTTGGTAAAATTGTTATCCTTTTTTTTTTTTTTTTTTTTACATTTTCTCATGTCACAACCAAAAAGTTATATTTATTTTCTCAGGATTGTACGTGCTAAGTAGAATACAATTAAGATTTGAAAGGAAAATTGTACATTTTCAAAACCATTTTGTAAAGCATAAACTGAAAAGTGTGATGAGCATTCAATACTTCTAACTAAAACTCATGATAACTTATCTAAGTTTTGATCATTCTTTAGAGCATTGTTAAATTCTGTAAAAATCAACAGAAAATGACAGAACAGCAAACTTGCACTGTACTTACAGTTTTGCATTATTCTGAAAACAATAATGCAATACCCTATGCCTTTAAGCATAATAAAGGCATAGGGTAAGTTTGAAGGAGTTGAGCTCACAGCTCAGAAGGGAGACTCTGTTGACTGGCCATATTTTAATGATATATTCACAAATCCAGCCTTGATGGGAGTGGCTAGAAGAAAGCCATTGGAACAAAGACAAGGTAGTAGAATTGTTTGAAATAAAGTTAAATGCAGGCTATACAAACTGCATAGGCTGTAGCAGGCCTTCTTTGGACTGAAAAAAGTGTGTAAATAACTCAAAATGCCAGAAGAGGGACTTGTTCCTGGTTTTATTATAGTCACAATAATTTTTATGTTTTTTAAGAATCTTTATCGCTAAGCCCAGGGCAGGAGCTTGTCTGGAGGGAGACCAAGTGGCAACAGGAATCCAGTAATGGCCAGGTAGCCAGGGGAGCCCAGGTAAAGACTATGGAAGACAGCCCTGAGGCTGCAGAAACCACCCAAGAGACCTTGAAAGCCAGATTGGGCCATTGGCATCCACTGAGGTACTTAAATAATTTTATCCACTAAAAACAATCCAACAAAATTTCCAGTCAGTTCATATTGTTACACTTAAAACACCTTACTGTCACTTTGACCGGTGGAGGCTCTGCGTTTAGGAAGGAAGCAATGCAACAAAATGCAGTAGAGGTGGCTTTATTGGAAGCTGCAGGTCACACAAACACCCATCTTCACAGTGAGATAAAAAAAGAAGCTGGCTTTTATACTTTGGGCAATTCCAAAACTCATACCAGGTAAAGGGGTAATAAACAAAAAACAAGAAATAAAACAATAAATGGTACCAATAAATATTTACATGCATGCAAATCATTAGGACTAAAATAAGATCAGTAGCAGAACAAATTCTCTAGGAGCACCTGGAGAATTTTTCTCCCTTTGCTGTTCCACCCTGTTGAGGAGTCACACCCAGAGAGGTCAGTACTCAACTAAATTAAACCAACAGAAATGATTAGAAACAAACAGACATTTCCAGCACATTCTCCCTGTGTAGGAAGGATGGCCAGTCCCTCAGCCTGAAATAATGATTAACTATATGTCACAATATAACTGAAATAAAGCATTGAAACAAAGCATTTGTTCTCTAAATGAATTAAACATAATATAATACCAATTAACATTTATTAGGGATGGAACCCCTGGTCTCCATCACACTTAAATTAAACTTAATTCAGATTGAAGTAAAAAAAAAATCCCACTTATTCTTATGCGGTTTTCTTTCCTAAAGTTAAAATCTAAGTACATATCAAACCAGATTTTTTTTTATTTTTTTTTGTGCACCATTAATACCCTATAATATATTATGTATATTTCAAAATAAAAAAAAATAACATTCTCTAAAAGATGTTTCCCTACCATTATTCTGGCATACTGGAGATATAAATAATTTGGGTTAATTGTCACTGACCTAAAACAGGATTTGTGTCACTTAATGTCAAGCTGTGGCAAAAATGAGTTGAATATAATTTTATGCAGTAACGTGAAAATATGATATGGTTTCCACTATGCATTTTTTCTGTCTCCTCATCACATTGGGAAATAACAGTGTAAGTCTCTGTTATTCAGGCCCAGCTTGTTATTCAGCTGAGTCTGAATAAGAAGTTAATGTATGCATGAAGATATTCTCAAATGGATGGCTAAAAGTTGTAAAGTGTGACTCTTTTGACAACCTAGAGTATTGACAATGATCAGAAAACAATTTATAAGGTTACATGGAAACATGAGAATAAACAGAAAAAAATATTTCTTTATGAAACTTTTTAAAAGTGAAATTATCAAGGACTAATAACAAGAAAAGTTCTGCATGTGTTACATAACCAACAGATTCTCTACTCTGAGTGGTGCATTCACGTATTTTATAAATTTTGTGTTTATGTTTTAATCATGTTGCCATGGTAATAAATTATTAAAAGATAAATAAAGTAATATTTTTCTTTCTAACTATTTTAGATTTTATCAGTTTCACATGTTTTCATTGAAAGTTTCCGCCAGAGGTGAAAATGGTCTGTATTGCTTTCTTTGTGGGGAAAAATTACCAATGTATAAACTGAAATGTTGGTATTTCGCTGGCTAAGAATAATAGGTTTTTACTATCAGAAAATTGCTCATTAATTTTCTCTTGGAGGATTTTCATCAGCAAAGCAGTTTGCAGCCCAGTGTTTCTTTGTAACAGAAGCTGCATTTGATAGAATGTCTTACTGTAGCTGAAGAAAACAACAACTTTGTTTTTTTTTTCTTTCTTTTTTGTCCTTTGGTTTGCCAAAAGATCTGAAGCAAAGTTACAAAAACATTAGCTTCTTGTATCATGCAATACCTTGAAGCTTCTTCATGTGCTGCGAACCATGTCTCTATGTTAAATTATAAATGAGAGGTTGTTTACATGGTTGTCCTCCAGAGAAGTTATCTTTTAACTTAGTTATTGCACTGCAATAATTGCAGCTCGGCTGCGCATGAAAATTATAAGATACGTTTTACAAATGAAGGGAATTAGATGTTTTCTTTAAATAAGTTTACCAACTGCAGCTTCCCGTATCTCATCTTATCATTTCAGACAAAAACTGCTCTTTCAAGATATGTACTTTGAAGTCTGCACAGCACATTGCACTTCTTTTTTTCTAGTAAGCACAATAATTCAACAGGCTCTGATTCAACCTGGAGCTCTGTTTGGGGCCACTACTATTCTTGGAACTAAAACTTTGCTCAACACAAGTTGTGATGAAAGGAAAGACAACAATCACAACTTCATTAAATATCACAACACTCCCACTGGCTGTAATTTTCTCCTAAATTTGTCTACAACCTCAGGAGCTAGTTTCTGACTGCGCAGATCTCTTGTTTTGTTTTCCCTTCATAACCAACAGTGGACATCATTTAGACGCAACTGGCCTCCTGTGTTAGCTGTGGCCATCGTTCCCACAGGTGCTTTGGCCTGTTAACATACTGTTCATTTCCCACGGGATTTGACTGATCTTCTGATCAACTTAAACAGAGAGACACTGCGAGCCACACAAAGAGACACAGACAAAACAAGTAGAAACTATAGGCACAACTGCATTCAGAAGACAGAGTCTGCAGAGACTGAGATAAAATCATGGGGAAAATAGTGAGATTGGGATGGCAGGGGATGTAGTACTAAGATTGACTGATCTGTTTTCAGGCCACAAGAGACTCTGCCGATATAGGGAAGAAGTCTAGAGTTTGAGAGAGATGATATGAAGAGAAAATAAGCCAGATTTGATATGATGTGAATGAGTACTTTGACTGATCCTCCTCTCCACTGGACCAGTGAATTTGATGTGGGGAGAGATATTCCAGCAGACAAAAGGAGAAAAATCAATATCCAAAGAAAAACAAAGTAAATGGTGAATGGGAGATAAAATGTAAGAGAAGGTTAAAGCAAGTAAACAAAAAAGAATTGAAAAGAAAAGAAGTAAGCGTGACATTTCAGTTTCAAGTTGTCAGATTCAACTACATTGTCAGTCTTCCTTCACACTTTTACAGCCTTGGCTGTACAAACACAAATTATTTGTTGGGGAACATTCATAACATAGACAACTGAATTAAAATTCATATTTCAACAGAAACACATGTAATTCAGTGGGTTTTAATGGATTATTTGCTACTGCAGGTTGCATTATTAATTCAAGCACGAGAGGAAAACAGGTTTGTTAAGATTTTCAGACCTGCTGAATCCTGAACTCACCAAGCCTTATCACTTTCGCAATGAAGACCGTGCTTCCTCACCTCTAAGCTTACTTTAAATAACAGTGGGATGAAGTAAAGAATGTACTAGTCATCAAAAAGCAGCTTTTGTTCTAAACTCTAGCCTATTTCTTTACCTAGAATGCTGGGTTCATTCTTTCTGGACAGACATTAGACAGCTTCAGTCAAAAGTAGTGACCCAGTTTGTAGTGGTAGAGGAGAGTCTCATTTTTAACTGACCACCATTTCCAACTACAAGTGGCTGGCTTTGATGTCAGGATGGCACTTCCAATTTTGTTTTACAGTACTTCACTGGGAAAATAAAGATTTTTTTTTTTCCATTTTGATATTCCTTCAGTAAAGCCTTTCCAAAGGATGAAAACAGAACTGAAAATAGTCAAATGCCTTATATAATTATACATAAAAAAATAATGTCGTGTTAATAATCTTAGTCCACACAAGAGAAAGTCTGTTGATATAACTGCAACATTTTAGCTAATGGCCCGATCTACAAAGATTCTAGATGAAAAGCACTAAACTGTCTGCCCAAATTATGCAAAATTGTGCAACATACTAATAGTCAAAATAAAAACCAATCAGAATAACGCTCTAAATATCTATATTTAGGTCCATTACCTCCCCCTAAGCTTTCTCTTGCATTTCACATGCAATGTTAAGTCTATTAGCTGCTCTGAAAGACCTTTTATGTGTGGGTCTATGGGTATATTACTCTCTCCAGGGTGTTCTTTTCCATTGTAACCTAACCCCATCCTTGCTATCTCATGAGGATAAAACAAATTTTAATCAGAGTTATGAGTTATTTATGTATAAAAATTTAGTTATACCTGATACAAATTAACCCACTTTTTGAAATTTATAACCCAAGACTGTTGCTTTGAACAGTGTGCATTGTAAGCATTCCATAAATTACTCAACCTGGACTGTTTTTCACATAGTAGTTTTAAGAGTGTAGATCTTGAAGGTAACATGCTTGATGCCCAAATTCTGCCAGTTTCTTAAGATTAAAACATTGCCCTTAATGATCAGTGATCTATAAAGGACAAGACTTCTAAATGAAGTTTAGAAGCCTTCAAAAAAGTTTGAAAGTCCATCTGTGTAGGACACTGCTGGTGCTTATAATTGATGGCTAATTGCAGTGTGGGTAGTGAATTAATACCTTATTACCTTGGGATTCTCTTGAGATACTAGCCAGGAACGTCCGTATGGGGTGGGTGTCATCACATCCAAGCCTTGATTAAGGCAGCGGGGAGAGTACAGACCCTGATCTCATTTTTGCTCACATTCCAGACTGATTTAAATGTCAATTCATTTTTATTTCAGCTCCTCCCTTCTCGACAGTGTCTTGGTAAGTGAGGAGGATAAGGAGGGAGAGTTTTGCCAAGGTAAGCATATTTAGGTTATGGGGGTTTGATTCTAAACTAATTTAAATAACTGTGTGGAAGCCAATTTGCTTTAATTGAGCTCTGCTCCTATGAACACCTGCAACTAGATTAGTGACTGACATTAAGTTGTTTTGCTGCACTGGGCCTCCAAGTGTTGCTCTTGCTGCTTCATAACTCTGGATTTACCTCCAAATTTTTAATGCAAGACCATATGCGTGTTGCAGAATATGCAATGAGCCTGGCTTAGTGCAGAGAGGCAATGAAGTATGGCCAAAAAAGGGAAAAATAATACCCAGGCTAATCCATTCTACTCTAATGTGCCTGAGAGGTGTGACAAAGGTGTTTTATTGCTATTACGATCACTATATTATTATCGGTATGTGTTATGGCATCTCAACATCGAGCAAAGCCCCAACTGGCCATGACAGGAGTAAAACAAACTATCTTCCTGCTCCATTGAGAGAAGACATTAAGCAAAGATGTACTTTCCCCTAGGCACAACCCCAGCACAACTGAAGCTGCCAGCAAAGCTGAAGAGGAATTTGTGTGAGCACAAACTGACACTCTTACCTCCCCCTCAGCTTTTTGTTGACCTGTGGAAATCATCTGTGAAAGGCCAAGCCTATCGATCCCCTTTTACTCAAAGAGACACCATTAGGGCAGACAAAGCTGCAGGTTTTACTGCTCTGCATTAGTTGTCATAACATAATCTACTTTAATGCAAGTGTACATGAAAGGTAGAACTTACACAAATGGAAGGCACATATTTTAATAAATGTGTATTCGAGATAAGAGATGTATGAGTAAAATTAAATTAAAGAATACAATAAGATGCTTATTCTTTGCTTCACAGCCCAATGAACAAATAACAACAATACACAGTACAGCCGTAAATTAAAACCCATTTGAGCGCCTTTATGCTGTATTTTGTCTGATGTCCAGTAGAGGGGTGTTGACTTATTGCAGTCTGGAAAATAACACTCAAGCCACTCAAAATGTTTTTGTATTTATTTATTTATTAACCAAAGCTAAGCCAAAATAGTTTGCTGGGTTCCCATTATGAAGTCCTCCTCATAACGTAAGATAATTTTGGTTTTAGAGTAAAAATACACAATAAGAAGGAGTAATTTAATTCAACACTTTATTGGTACTAGAGGACTATGTTTGTATCTTAAACTATTAAAATTTCTTTCAAAAGTCTTACTTGCTTGTTTGTTTTACTGTGGATCTGACTGATGCAACTCTGCTCCAGTTCCAGAGCATTTCCAAAAACTGCCTTGTTTATCACCTTGTTCAGTTTCTGCTGCTACAACAGATGTCAGAAGAGACTGCACTCCCAGAAACAGACCCATGCGAAATACTTGAATCTTATAATTGACAATGTAGGTTGGTGAATGATTAAAATAAAATGTAAAGATTTAACATCTCATCTTAACAGACCAAGCTATTAATTCACTTTATTTTAGAATTACATTTTGAGAGTCTATTGTAATGGGCTTTAAAAAATAAAAAAGACAGTATATATAGGATGTGGCAAATATCCTATATCCCATAATGATTACATCATTATCGAGGCAGCAAACAAGTAAAGTCAGCTACACTTTTTACCTGCAAACTGACAGTCATTCATTTGGAGCTTAGAGTACTCAATTGAAATGTATTTCTCACTAAAAATATCACATGGCAGCCTGAAGAATAAATATAAATAAATAAATACTCGACTTTTAGACCACAAAGGCATAATTTTCTAAGATCTGTAAAACCAAAAATTGAATAGCTGACCACAGCTTCCAGGACACCAAGCAACTCATTTTACTGTCCATGCAATGTCAGTCAAACAGTGACATTGCATGGAACATTGCATGGAACATTTTTACCTGTGCTTACAGCAACTGTGAAAATGGAAGTTTGTGTACGTATTTATTTCAGCATAACTTAACAACATGGTAGACTGTTGTCACAAATAATATTTTACCTGTCATTACATGTCATATTATTTAATTATGACATGTAATTACATGTCATATTATTTCAGGCCCAGTGTTTCAGCCCAATCCCACTGTGCTTAATTAGCACAGTGCCTAGAGTCTTAGGATGTATTGTGTTTCAGCAGTTATCCAAATTTTTGTTATTGCACCCTGCATTGTTCCAGGACTAGTGACTGTTCAATGATATTAGACATAAATGAAATACTTTTTAAAGGAGACATTCCTCTGGACAAATAAGTAATGATTTGTTTCTAAAGTGCACCTACCGTGCCACTCAGACACATCTTCAGTGATGTACTCTAAGATCAGTGTTTTAAATCTCACAACATCTCATACCCTCCCAGAGGACTCAATGAGAGTTTATCCGGCCCTGACTGGGTCACCAACATTTCCAGATCAGTAGCTTGTGTGTTACCACCTCCGTGGTAAGTAAAGCACCAGGTCCTTTACTTTTTGCTTTGGCATTTATCTATCAGCTCCTTCGATGTTGCCCTCTTCCTCTCAAGGGCCACCTCCATTGCTCTTCTCAGGGAACAATCTGTACCAGCATTAACACTTGCTTTGCCGTTTCTGACACTCAAACAGATCTGGCCCATATGTAATTACAACAATGCTTTCTGAAAATTTGAGCCATCTTCCTAGATCAACCTTTAGCTGTCAGTCTCGTAGTTAATGGCAGGAGGCCCTGATAATGACTTCTGCAATTACTCTCAGCAGTCGAACATGATGCCAGCGATAGTGGCCATCTCCCAGTGCTCTCACAGCAGCTCAAGATGCACTTCAGCGAGTCTACTTTCTGGCCAAAATAAGGATTTTTGGAGTTAGGTTAATTCAGATTAAAAGTGTGACAGATCTTTCAATCATCCTTTACAGAAAACATACCCTCCTGTCAAACAGTTTTTGTTAACATGCAACTTGTAGTTGGGAAAAATCAAATAAAACATCCAAAGCAAAATTCCAAAAACAAGCGTCAGACGTCTTCTTCCTCAACAAACTCTGAGCTCAAATTGAAAAAAAGCTGCTGCTCATTCAACAAAGAGTGAAAATTGCAGAAGAACAATGTTTATGTGTGATATTAAACCAGTCATATGCAATCTCTGTTTGTGCTTTGTCATTTAAATCCATAGAAGGGAGAAAGTACCTTTTAAACTTTCAGCTACACAGACAAGATTTGATTTGTGTGACTTAGTTCCTTGTTCATGGTGGCCCAGCTTTTAGCTAATATTCCAAGGTGTCTTTAAAAAAAATCATGTGGTTAAATAGCAAACAATGCCTAAACTGAATACCGCTGAAGTTATGTTGATGGCGAAGCTATAGAATTTTTTAAAATTAATTTTCTTTCTGTTTTTGATATGACAACATATGTTGAGGCAAACAAATGTGCTTCATTACATCATAATTGTCTAGATGTATAGCATAGCAGTCACTCAGATCATGTCAAATACAGGTGTGTAAATGCACAGTAAGAAAGCCTTTTTAATGAAGGCAATGTATGGAATTGGAAGTACTGTGTGCATTTGATTTTTCACTGATTTGTTTCAGGATGAAATGATTTCATTAAAGCTCATGGGTATATTCAGCAGCTGAACTCCAAACTGTCAGGTCAACCACCACAATTGAGCACTCAGTCTCATCAGAAAATCTAAATATTCAAGTCTTAGTCTGGGAATGGAAAACATCTTCTTGACTAATTTCTCTTTCCAAATTGCATGCATCCCCTCTGGCACTGTTGATACTTGTCTAAGCATTTCAGAAGTGAAGGACAAACTCTGCAAAATAAATAAATTTCCATTCTCCAACTGTGTACTGTAATGAAAAGATCACAAATGACAGTTTCTGTTTTGAATTTCTCATAAACTCACTTTCTTTCAATATGTGTTTATGATGTTTAAGACCACGGAGAATATAATTTTCTGACAATTTCAGGTCAGTCAGTCAATGACCTAATAGATATGTATTTCAACCAATTGCATTTTGTTTAACTCATGTCACAAATAAAAGAATGATAGCGAGCAGGGGATGATCATTCAGTGTCCTCTCCAATGCAAAAGAAATTCCTATTTGTTAAATTTTTACATTTTAACAAGTAATTTCTTTCATATTTCTTTGGGTTTTATAAATCAGAATACCCGGTGCTGTAGTCCTCTTCCTGCTTTTGGAGCAGTCTGTGGTCTGTTTGAAATTTACATATGAATTTGAACTGCACTAGTTTGGTTCAACCGAACCATGATCTAAGTTTTTAGGTAGACCAGTGTTAACTTTTTTGGTCCACAGCAGAGTTTGATTGCACTCTTTGCCAAATGTAGCAGACTTCCAAAGCAGATGATTTTGTTTGATTAAAGTGTATTAAGGAGGACTGGTGTGAATGCATCCTTAGAAAACCTGCATGACCCAAGGCTGATTGATCAATTTGAAGTTATTTATAAGCACCTGATGGAGCTTCACGAGTTGAAAGTGGTTTAGAATTTATCCTTCATAATTAGAATAAAAGAAGACGACCGAGCTTGAATGAAGAAATGAGAAAAGCCTCAGAACATACCCTAAAACCTTTCTGTCAATGGAAAGCAGATGGCTTTCTTTACTTTCAGTGGGTGGCTACCGTTACAAAAAGAAGAGCAGTAAATTATTTAATGTCCATGGTGGCAGTGTGAGTAAAGCTTCAATCTTAGAATTGAAAGATCTTGCTGCTCCCTGAATAAACAAACTGGATAGCTGGAAAGGACTGATTTGGAGAGCTATAAAAGCATTATACTGCAATAGCAGAATGGTGGCAAAAGTCATAAAAAAAAAAAAAAAAAAAAAAAACACTGTCAGGGTTTCTAGTGAAAGTACAGCCCCCAGAGGGACAAGAAGCTTGAACTCGCTACTGGAACACCATCAAGGTGACATACTATTCCTACAACATTCCAGTTTTGTTGAAAGATTAAAAAAAAATCTTCCAATACTTATTTTAATTCAAAACTGAGAATTTTGCTTTTGTCAACATCATCCCTGAACTCGGTGGAAATGTTTTCATGTCACCAAATCAACGGTTCTGGGAAAGATGAAAATCTTTCCCTGAATTAAAAAAAAATAGTAGTACAAGTTGTAGGGCTACATTTAGTTTTCTTAATCATCAAACTCAGCACTAATTTTTTTAATTTTTTGTCTGGTGTAACCATAGAAAATTGTGTAGTAAGTTAAAGCATTTGCGATAGAAAATATTTTGAAGGTAGTCAGTTACTCTATAGACAGTTGGTTTTTGTCAAGTAAATAAAAATAAAAAGTTCCATGTTTCTTTTGAAGTATTATTGTTCTGGTGAATTGCTAAGACGCCACTCCCCTTTTGCTTCTTCTTTGTGCTCTGCCTGCTACAGATGAGAACCAGGTGGAGTCAATCTCCTGGCAATCGGAAAAGTGTATTTTAGGTGTGGCTGACCTCTCACTCATGTTTGAGAAAGTGGCACAGCATGTGTGACAAACAGTGTTGATCGCATGCAAGGTGCAAACTGTGCAAATCTTTAAAAAACTGTGAAGGACAGCCGGTAAGCTCCTAATACTGTTTTACATGGACTTTAACTGTTTGATTGTTTTAATGGAAAAGAAAAAAAAAAAGAAAAAGAAATGTATATATTTATATGCACTTGGTGTTTATTAGTTAAAGCAGAACAAATATTGATAGTAAATGTAGTAAAAGGGCACATATTATGCTTTTCGCAAATTTTCCCTTTGAGGTTTTGAATGTCAAACTCAGGCATTTGTGAATAATAGTATATATCCCCAGCAT